AAAAATAAGAAATTCAACGTTACTGGTATATTAGCCATATTTTCATCCAGTCAGCCAGCGCCCTCTGTAGTGTATGCGACAATGTGCTTCTTCTAATGTATGGTTTCCACAAACTTCGTATTTTTGTTAAAATAATTTCAAAATGAATGTTGAGCCTAGATTTGTTAAAGCTGATTCCCGACAACTTACCAAGAGTCGATTTTGAAATGATCGATGAATTTTACTTGAAAAATTTGCAATACTTTGGTACCGAAATGAAGAATAAAAAATTGAAACGGAAGGTGGTATATTTAGTAAGTCCCTTTTATTTATATGACATTCATTTCAGACTTTGTCTTTTATCGAAGGATGGAAAATTTTGATTTAATTTTTTATCTCGGCCAAGGAGCATTATGGTGACTGAAAAGAGAAGCAAAAATATGTACAGTGAAATGTAGAATTACTACAGAATATATCAATCCAAAAATAACCTGAAAAACTATTTTTCGGAATGTAAACTAATGACACGGAATATGCAGACCCGCCGAGACCTAACTTTTACAAAAAAACGTTCTTTAATTATATAATGGTAACAGTTGTATTCACACCGAGTTGACAACAATAACAACAAAAATGGCGTCTGTTAAATTGGATCATCAGATCTGTGTTTGTATATTAGAAACCAATACACTTGACAACTACGCTCTAGACATGATCAATTTTATTGGTCAACAGACACGCGGCCAATTTAAATTCTTGCTTTTCGAATTATTCTTTTTTCTGCAAATATAAAGAGATTTTGGGACCGATTAGGCTTGATAAGTATAATATATCCTTAATTCGATCAGTCTATAAGCAAACCAGTATCATTTTCTATAGCATGAAACAAGCCCATTATAGCAAGTGAAATCGAAAGTAAAGATGAAAGAATGAAAAGGAATACGACCAGTTTATCAAAACATCTTTCTGAGCAGAAAATATGCAGAATGCAATTAGGTTTTTGGGAAGTGTATGGGTGGCTCATCGGTGTCCAACCATTGTCCTGAACGTCTCCTGTTGACCTAGAGGATCCACTTTTCATCACACAAATGACGATACAATCTAAAAAAGCATCGTTTTCATTGAAGAAAAGCAATGAAAATTTAACCTCGAAACAAATCGTGGGGCACCCACTTGTCGAGATTTTTGTCCTTTCCAATAGTTTTAATCCAACAACGTTTGTGACAGGTCAGTCTCCACCAGGGTTTTCACATTCCATAACAGTGCGTTAATCAACAATAACATTACCAAATGCCTGCTTAATTTTTCGGGTTGCTCTGATTTAATTTGAATTCATAGAGAAAAATTGGCAGAAAATCGTCTGACATCATATAGTGATGAGGTGAAACAGAGTCAGTGTACAGTATATACCACTTCACAGTAGAATAAAAGATAAAAAAATTTAGACCAGTAAATGAACTCAAATCTGAGACATTCAGTGGCTGAGTTAAAGGAGTTGTTCGTGTAACAAACGGATGAGAAGTGAACGAGCAGCTGAAGAAATTGAAAAGTCAATTCGAACTTGCTAACATGGCCAGCCAACCTGCTTCTCTTAGGCAGAGTAGACCTGTTTCAACAAAGAAAGTCTTATCGTCAGCAACTATACCGTCGCAAGCTAAAACCCTAAACGCCTCCAACTTTTGATAGATGGTCATTGTGGGAATTTGTATTGTGGACATCTTAGTAAGCGGTAAACTTCAATGCTAAGTCGATGAGTGTCTTCTCAAAATTTTCGAAACAGTAATTCAACGTGTGTTTGAACAACATTGCGAAGAAAACATAATTTTGAGAATAACCCACCACATCTCCAACCCCACATAGATGGCTCAGGTCGATGACATCAGAAAGAAGCAGTGTGTGTAGACTTTTGGTACTCGAAGTCATGTCTGTATCGGTTCAGAAAAATTGCAAGTGTTTGAATAATAATGATCATCTGGAATGTTATCCCCTATTGACTCAGAAACTTCCAGAATACTCGTTCGACCAAGTTCAGTCCCCAATACTACCAAGAATGTTATGAAAAAGAAATTAGAGTGTAAGTAAATGCATAGTTGGAGAATAGCAACAAAAAGAAATAATTATCGCCAGAGCAATAATCAATTCAACACCAGTCAGAGTTCCGAAGAGAATATAAAATTTAACTACATTAACTACACAAAAAAGACCCCATTTGAAGTTTGCGAATATATTATTGTAAATCATGCCCGAAAGAAAATAACGCCGGCCGCTACTGGTAACCTTAAACCAATCGTGACGTAGCTAAGAGCGCGCGAATGTACGATGATTCTCCGTCACTCTAGAAGCAGCGAGAATAATGCTACCGATTTCGACAGAACTTTGGCGAAATTTTTACGGCATTCGATTACGATATTTAAGGGCTAGCCACGATGATATCGACACAGTCAAGTGGACGTTACAGTGCGGTACGCGAAGTGTTCTAGTAAGGCGATAGACATTCAAATAATAGTTGAAGTTCAGTTGAAGTGTTTCTTGTATTCAAAGTGAAATAAAGTTAAGTTTGATTATTCAGTGTAGTCAATTATTGGTCAACCCACGTGAAAAACGTTACATTTGGTTTCAGAAGTGGAATAATTGACTAAAAATTTGTTGTTTCATGTTGAAAACAATGAGTGTCAATTACGAAGAAATGGAAGAGCTCAAGAAAATGTTCGAGGTTTTGCAAGCGGGCCTGATGGAGAATGGACATCGCAGAAGAGAGGAAGATGAACTCAAAAGAAAGGAAGAACGATTACGCTGAAACGAAGCTCGTGAATAACTACTGAATATTCTGGAAAAACAAGAGGAATATCGTTATTATTATTATTATTGTCGTTATTATTGGTAAATATTCAGAAGAAACAATAAAAGACACTGTACTTTCGTTTATTTGAAAATTTGAAATCTTTCAAGTGAGTAAAGGGGANCTTCCCAAGTGAGTAAAGGGGAGGTACAGGAATTGATTCAGGAAGAATTTGAAAAAGTATTTCAGGAATTTGGAAAAGTATTTCCGGAAGATTCGGAAAGGAAAGAGTCACGGAAACGCAGATAGCCTCTCAAGAAGACCATGCTTGATATCCGGATGCAAATTTTGCCAACGCCTTGAGCACAAGGATACCCAGCTACCAAAAGAACTTCCCACCAGATGGGATAAGGTAGCGGGCAGAGACTCCTTTATGGATAGCTCTGTCGTTTCGGGTTCCCTCTGACCCGGAAGGTGGTAAGCTGTAAGGGTCCCTTAACCAGGGATATGGACAAACAAATTGAGGATTCACCCAACCACGGTGTGGTACGGTCGTTAACAGACTATGAGGGTGTCACTACCTTCCTGACAAGGCAAGATATCATTGTAGCGCAGAAGGAGGATCCCGTCTTGGAAATTGTACGAGAATGGATTGCCAAACGAGCGAGATCGGAATGGCAAGATATTCCCAAGCACGGCCAGCAGAAAAAGGGTTACTGGCTCCAATGAGACTTCATGAGCATTCGAGATGACCTACTGACTTGAAAATGGAAAAGCGCGGATGGAAGAACCCACAAATGGCAGATGATCCTTCCTAAGACGTGTATTCCGAGTATCCTCGAACAGCTTCACGATGGTGGCACTGGAGGGCATTTAGGAGTAAATAGAACTCTAGCGACAGTGCGTGAGAGGTACTATTGGATCAATTGCCGTCGAGACGTGGAAGAGTAGTGTAAGCGCTCTAACATGTGCCCTTCGAGAAAGGGTCCGAAGACAAGGCAAAGAGGGAGCTAAAAGCAATACCGCAGTGGGTGCCCTTCTCGAGAGAAACGCAGTTGACATTCTGGGACCACTTCCTATGACTACATCCAGTATCAAGTATCTTATGGTTGTGATGGACTATTTTCCAAATGGCCCGAAGTAGTGGCCTTTCCCAACGAAGAGGCTAAAAAGGTGGCAGAAACCCTGTTGCTGAACGTAAATGCCAGACACGGAGTACCCCAGGAACTACATTCGGATTAGGGCCGTAACTTCGAATCGCATTTATGAAAGGAAATGATGACTTTGTTTGGAAACAACTGCTTTTCACCCACAGTCCGATGGGATCAATTGGTTCCTCTTTTTCTGTTGACATACAGGAGCTCCCAACATGACGCGACAGGTTATACATCATCCATGTTGTTAACAGGGAACTGAAGCTTCCGATAGATGTATTGTATGGCAGTTCTTTCGATGAATCTCAAGAGGTACCTCTTTCAGAGTATGTGAACGACCTGAAGGAGAGACTGGAAATTGTACACGAATTTGCCAGGACTTGATTACAGCTTTCCAGTGAAAGGATGAAAATAAGATTCGACAAAAAGTCGCTGCCAGTGAGCTTCAAGGAGGGCGATGCAGTGTGGCTCTACCAACCCCAACGTGGAAAAGGTTTGTGTCCCAAGTTGCAGAGACCATGGCAAGGACCTTACTTGGTAACCCAAAAAATAAACGATTTGGTGTACAGTATAAAATGGTCACCCGGAAGCAAGCCTAAAGTTGTCCACATAGAAGGGCTGTGTGTCCTTACATTGGTCGTGATGTCCCCTCTTGGAATGTTGTTCGGGGCAAACAACCTCAGGAAAGGATGTAGTGTTGTAAATCATGCCCGAAAGAAAATAAAGTCGGCCGCCACTGGTAACCATAACCAAACGTGACGTAGCTAAGAGCGCGCGAATGTACGATGCTACCAATTTCGACGGAAATTTGGCGAAATTTCTACGACATTCGATTACGATATTTGAAGGCTAGCCAGGAGGATATCGACACAGTCAAGTGGACGTTACAGTGCAGTACGCGAAGTGATTTAGTAAGGCGATAGACATTCGAATAATAGTTGAAGTTTAGTTGCATTTAAAGTGAAATACAGTTAATTATTGGTCAACCCACGAGGAAAAACGTAACAATATATTTGTAGTAACTGAAACAATTCACGAAGAAGTGAGAGCAAAAGTGATATAATGGTAATGGTCTGAATAATGAGCTGAATAGAGTCTATGGAGTATAACTCGATAGAGTTAATATATTTTGCCCTTCCTGTATGTAGAAGGGCTGTTGATCTAGTATTGTTCTTAGAACTGCTGTTCATAGTAGGGATTGCAAGACATTGCAATATATTCGTATCAATACATTGAAATGTGAATATGTGAACTAATATTTTCATTCTTGACACACACACACACACACACACACACACCAAATCTAGAAATCTAGAGGTTTCGAATGAGTTGGATTGTTTTCTGTATTGTGATATTCCATTTTTTCAGGTGGTGCAAAAGCCAAAAATGTCCAACAACAGAGAAAATCTCTGTATTCAGAGGCGGGTGTCTTCAATAAAAATAGTCACCAAAATAAACCTGATAATAATAGAACCTCCTGGTATGCTGAAATCGGCCTTTACCCGAAACCACCGACTGATGCCCCATCTGCGGAAAACATTGAAACAAAAGCCAGTTTTCATGTACCAAGAAATAGTTCAGAAGTAAACGAATGTTCAAATATTAATCCACAACCAGTATTTTCTAGTTTGCTGGACGAACTGAATTCTAAAGTAATCAACAGTAACGTAGGAACTGAAACTGAAACACCGTATTACAATCAGAGCTTAGATAGCTTCAATAGTACCGACTCGGGAGCTGTGCATGATCTGGCATTTTTGGAAGATGAACCTTTGTATCAGTTTTACGACCCCACAGTAAGTAAATGAAAGTAATTACAATAGATTCTTGGGAAAGTAATAGTGATGGGTAATCAAATTATTGATTAATTAATTGAAATGCAATATCGACAAAAAACCGTTCAAATCCAATTATGGGAAGTAATATTAGATTGTATTGAATGAGTTATTGTTGGATTACAAAAATATAAATCGTCCACGCTATCTATTGAAAACACTTTTCTCATTCATGTCTCTGCCAATCAAGTTTGCACAATCAGAAGATTTGTAGAGATATTATTTTGTTCTGGTGTATAGAAAATGTTTTCAATAGATTAATTTTACGCTAAAGAATTCAATTGAACTTATTGAATCAAGACTGTCTATTACTTATCACATTGTCGTTTTAAAATTTGGAACACCCTATATATTTCAACTTGAATAATTACCTTGAAAAGAGTTGTTTTTAAAAGTATGATACTATTACAGTTTATACCGAGTGGTTCACAATTTATGGTGTGATTTATGACAGAAAACGGGTATATTCAATACCAAAATGGAATAAAAATCTTTCAGCCCGAAATTTTTGAAAATGACGTTTTTTCATCACAGGGATAACTGAAACATGAGGTCACTTTTTTCAATAAGACCATTCAAGACTAGACCACACGATGACCTTTCAAGAAATATACGGTTTGACCACTTTACATCTATTGAAAATGTATCTAATTCTTGAGGAAATAATCTGAAAGCCGTTAAATCAATGCAATAACTTTTTAATGCAATAAGTAATTTTAACAAGCCTAAAATCATAGCCGTTGGTAAATCTCACATGTCGAACTTCAATTATAGTGGGTTTTCGTAATAAAAAAACTTTTCTGATCTCGTTTTTCATATCGTCTGATGTCGTTGGTTTCTCTCGGAAGATCTTCCCTTCAACATATATCCATAGATAGAAATCTAGGGCGAGTGAGATCTGGGGATTGTGCTGGCCACTTGATGAACCCATCAATTCGGATCCATTTATTCTTACGCCATCTGTTCAAAAGACTTTGAATTTTGACCGAAATCTGTAAATATCTCTATGTCCCAAACATTTATCGACCAATTATTTTAGTTTATCAATTTCTCTGGCTGAATGACCAGTTTGGCAGGTTAACCACGCCAACGTAAAGTGGGTTAGTTTCATTTTATTACAGTTGAGTGTGTTTCTTACTAGATTTTAAGTTCACCATAAAATAGTTAGTGATAGTCATTGTACCTGTTGAGATTTTTTACACTGTAGGTGTACACTGAAGGTGTAGAAAGTATAAAGCACACGAAATAAATGAAGCGTAGAAGGAGAAAAAACGAATCGTGGAAGGAAAAGACTGAATTGGCGAGGATGTGAACTGTTCAAAATATTGAGTACAATGGAAATTGCAATTCTTAGATTTTTGCTGTAGCTACAATATCTAGAGATATATTTTTTTTATTTATATTATCTGGAAATATGGAATGGATCTACTGCGAGAAAACAACGACATTAAAGAAAACAGAGAAGTAATTTGCTCCATCACAACAAAAACAATAATTGAAGATGAAGTTAATATGTGCACAGTTCATAATGGTTATTTTGTCAAAAATCAATATGGATTTGGACTATTCTGTTTTGGCCTTATTCTTTTTCACTTTCTCAAATAGAACATTTTGCTATTTGAAAAAGGTAAAGAGAGTTCCCAAGTTTTGGCTACCCTTCTATGGAAGAAGTGCCTTTCGGCAAAATTACGGACAGGAAATGAAAATACGCTATTCCCAGAACACTTGAATGTTTTTCTATCTACTCTATTTATCGAATAGGAGACATTTGCTGTTGAAATAACCTTCTTTCTGACCTGATTTTCACCATAACTTCTACCCGGTATATACCACAAAAACCCTATATTTTCAAGAACTTTTCAAGACAATCGTACGAGTTATGGAATATATAGGTTGATCTATTAAAAAAACTTTGAATTACAACTTAATCGAACACTTTGTATATTTGAACCAGATTTTGTAACATGACTTCCATAACTCTAACCATTAATATTCAATTCTATCTTTAATGGAGAAGCCCGTATCTGGCACCCTCACACACATCGTTGATCTCACCACTTGAAACTAACTTGATATATTTTATGGTCTCTATGAACTATACTATCAGATTGTTTCAAAAGTTTTGTTTTATGAGTATATTTTTAACTGTAATATCTCGGTAACACAAGTCGATTAATTTCTATAGCATGAACATTGTGTGCTCAGGATTCGATTGAGTCGACGAAGGCCGTATTTACGTCATCCCTCACACCGTTTGTAATGGGTCAGTCTCCTCCAGAGTCCTCAAATTGTCGTTTTGAATTACTGTAGGTCCACCAATTCGGTTTACCACTTCGGTGGTGGACCTACAGTAGTATTGACATTAGTGGTATTGACATTGGTGGTATTGACATTCGGGGTATTGACATTGACATTGATATAGACATTGACATTGATATTGACATTGAAACGGACAAACCTTTTGAAAAAATCCAATACTTGAAGTGATGGATCAAAGTTTCAATGAATCCATACTCACACTTCTCAATTCCTGATGATAAAAAAATCATATGAAAAAAGAACCAATTGTATGAATAAGTACATGGTATGTATCATTAAAAATCTTTTTAATTTTCAAAATTTGAATAAAGTGTGGTTCGATAGTGACTAGAATTAAAAATATTCCCATCCTGAACAAAGGGCATACCAAATATCATGTTAAAAAGATATTTGCAACAGTAAATTGGAATGCGGATATAATCAACAAACTCAATTTCTACACTCCATCCAGTTTCATCACAGTTAAAGCCAGTTCTAAATAGTTATTAGAAACGATTGTGAAATGTGAATTTAATTTTCCATATTGAGCCTTCAAGTCACTCAATTTATTTCCATGATAAGTAATCTTTATTTTTCAGTTAAAATATTTTTTACGTTTTAGTCCATATCCGATTATGATAATTCCGATTTCGAAAATGAAATTTATGAAGATGTTGATGAAAGAAATGAAATATATATTTCATCAACACCAACGCCTGTGCTGATGTCAGTGAGTCGAAGCGATTTCAATTTTACAAGGAGTCTGTGGTGTGAAACACCTGAAGTTACGAAGTCAGCGGTTTTGAGTAAGTAATTTTTTTGATAGTTTTATTTATTCAGACTAAATTTTTTGGTATAATTATCAACTGATTCTGTTTTGCATTAAAATATTGTACTTGAGCAAGACTGTACTGGATTAATTCGAACTTGTTTTATACAGACTCGAGTCTGTATAAAACAATCAACTCAATAGCCCCATAAAAAAAGTCCAAAGGTGTCAAACGATTTCAATGATCAGAAGGTCAACAGTAGTTTCCAGCATATTCCAATACATTTCCCCTGTTAAGTTTCGATCAATATGGTTTCCCAATATTTCTGCCCAAACGTTAATTTTTTCTGGATATTGGGTATGTGTTTCCCGGAAAACGTGAGGGTTGGTGTCGTTTCAATAACGGCAATTTTGTATGTGAACATTGCCGTTTAAAAACATGTACATTCGTCATTGAAACAAATATTGTGGAGATAGGTAGGATGCCTTGCAATGGTTTCCATCATGATTTCAGAGAATTCTATTCTTCGATCAGTGTCATCTTCAGTTAATTGGTGTACCATCTTAATTACGTATGGATGATACCTATTCATTCCTCTTCAAAAGTCTCCACACAGTAGAAAATGACACCTCACAAACATTCGCGATGGAATAAGTAGACTACCATCTCATCAATCATTTGCACTTGCTGTTCTTTCGAAATGGACGGATGACCTGGGGACTTTTTGTTATATACACTACCGGTAGGTGTGAATTTGGATACAAGTTCCCTCAAATATTTTCTACAGATAGGACGATTCGGAAAACGTTCATTGAAAATCCTTTCGGTTTCGTGAAAGTTACGCGTCGCTTGTTGACATGGTACCTTTCTGTTAGTAAAACCGAAAACTAAATGAGAATATTCTAACTGAACAATGATGTTTATTGTCGTACTGACATTTTTGTCGTTTTTTATAAATAAAACATAACTTAACCAACCTTATCGGGTTGTTGGAATTGCCATATGGCAGATCAACAAGAATATTTCTAGAAATATCGATATTAATGTGTTCGTCTTCAGGGTATTATTAATTAAATGTTTCGCCATTTTGTAGAAGTTGAAGATATTGACATTTTATTCTAGAGTTGTGAAGTATTCGTCAGAAGCTTCAAAATGATGTGTCACAAGACACCCCTTTCCATTTAGATTTTTTCCCTAGATGGCGCCCAGTCGCCATCTTGAAAGTTTCATCTGTCAGTTTCACTTCAAAATGAAGTATTTATGCATTAATTCCATTATCCCAAATTTCATTTTTTTTTAGTTGACCCATTCAAAAAATGAAGGTGGGGGACATTAAAGAAATGCACTGTATAATTATTTCAGGAGTGCTATTCTCCTGTTTCAGATCGTGTCAGATGATGGAATGGAGCATACCCTTCAATTTTCCATAGGTTTGTTGAAATTTATACAGGGCGTTCCTCAATGACATGTGAATATTCAATGGCGTAAATCTGCATGAAAAAATAATGAGAGCTATTATATAAACTGAGGTCCAAAAATGTTAGCTTTATTTTAGTGATAGGTAAGCAGTGACAGTTGATGAAAGTATATATTTTTCAATGAGAAAATAATTTTCCACTTCAACAGTGGCGGGGTATGGGGATTGACTTCGATATATTTGAAGAAAAAACTGATACGAGTTTCAATGTTTCTCAAAAAAATTCATTTTTGAACTTCTTATCAATTTGGGTTGAAAAGTCCTGTTAAGTTTTTTCCTACTTTACGTTGTTTTTAAGTGAAAAAATAGAAACCCTTGTATTGTCCGAGAAATGAATGATTTTTTTTTGTATTCAATTTGATTTTATACGGGAACACCCCTGTATTCTCAGAAAGTACTTTTCAAGAGAACTTTGTTAGATAACAAATATAGAAATTCTATAAAAAATAAGGCTTGTTTTCGAGTTCGGTTCCACACACTATTGGAAAAAATAAATGTTATTCGATAATGAAAAACCCATATTCTAAAAATGTTCTCAAAACAACAAAAATTATTGGTGAATAATTTAAAAATGACCAATACTTAAACTTTTATACGAAACATTTTTGATAACTTTACTCCTTCACTCCAGACTAATGGAAACACGAAGTGATATACACTTTATATGTTGAATAAATCAAGCCATACGCCGTGAATGCCCGTGGGATTCACTTGTTTACTTTTGAAAACTCACGCCAGTTATTTGGTACAAGAGATCTTTCTCCTTGATCTCAAATTGTCGACCAATCACCAGAATAAAAGTTGATACTTGAATTTTTCGATGAGGGGGCCTGCAAAACATATTTCTAATGTATGAATTGTAAAAAATCGTCTTCGAAACGGTTTTTCAAAAGTTCTATTACATTCCACAGGGACTTCCGAACTTTGACAGTTGATTACGGCCATCTTGTTGAAGCTACATCTGTCAAATTAGTTTTCATTTATTCAGTCTGTTTTGCCAAATCACCATGGACAGATATAGCATTCAAAAATAATAAAATTGGTTTATCAAAAAATGTGTAGTGTTCGAGCAACGTACCGCGTTCCATCCATTTCACGGTCGCCATAACGTTCTACCGAGACGAGTATTCGAAATGTGGTGGACGAATTTGAGGTCACTGCGACGAGACCAATCCAGATGAGATCCAAGAGCGTCCATTGCATCCCGAAAAAGTCACTATTTATTGTGGATTTTGAGCTGGCGACGTCATCGGTCCATATTTCTTTGAGAACGACTGTCAACTGCTAGCACTATAGGTCGATGATTACGAACTCCTTTCGGCCTGAATTGGATGATCTGGACACCAATGACATGTGATTTCAACAGGGCGGCGCTACGTGCCACACAGCTCATGTCACATTGATATTCTGCACAAGCGATTTGAAAGCATGGTCATCTCACGTGGAGGTGATGTGAACTGGCCACTGATATCATCCGATTTGATCCCATTAGACATTTTCTTGTGGTGTTTTCTCAAGTCGAAGGTGATTGCCAATAAGCCAGAAACCACAGTGGTTCTCAAATCCAACATAACCCTTGCAATCGGTCAAATTCAGCCTGATTTATGCGCCAGATTAATAGAGAATTGAACGTTTCGGATGCGCTCCACCCAGAGAAGCCATGGCAGACATCCGTACGATGTCATATTCCACACTAAATGGCATCAATAGGCCTTTCAAACGAAAAAATAATTTCGATGATATCTCATACATACATTGTTTTATCGGAATTTAAAGATATGAAGCGCTTAATGAAAGAACCTATACTCACTTTGAATAAGAAAATATCCCTTCACGACCGGAATCACGATTGAAGAGGATAAGTACCAAACGTTTATACTGCTACTCTGGCAGATATTTCAGAGGCATGTGCATTGATTGCGAGGACAAAAGTTATATCGCGAAATCAGCGCACATACCACCGCTTATGTCTGCCGCAGTAGCAGACGAAATGTTTAGTACTATAGTGTCTTTTATCGAGCGCTTTCTATCTTCACCTTCGAGTAAAACAAATTGTGTGTGAGGTATCATCGACATTGTTTCATCGACATGTTTAGTATTATAGTGCCTTTTATCGAGCGCTTTCTATCTTCACCTTCGAGTAAAACAAATTGTGTGTGAGGTATCATCGACATTGTTTATTCGTTTGAAAGACCTATTGATGCCATTACGTGTCGAATACAACATCATTCAAATGTTCGCCACGGCTTGTCTGGGTGGAGCGCATCGAAAAGTCCAATTTTCCGTAACTCTGGCGCATAAAACAGACTAAAGTTTACCGATGGCATGGGTTATGTTGGCTTTGAGGACCTCTGTGGTTCCTGGCTTATTCGCATACACTTGCGACTGAAGAAAACCTCACAAGAAAAAGTCTAACGAGATCAAATCGTACGATCTCGGTGGCCAGTTCACGTCACCTCCACGTGAGATGACCATGCCCTCAAATTGCTCGTGCGGAATATCCAAGAATGTGGCATGAGCTGTGTGGCATGTAGCGCCGTCCTGTTGAAACTATATGTTGTTGATATCCAGGTCATCCAATTCAGACCAAAAAAATTTGGTAATCATCGACCTATAGTGCTCGCCATTGACAGTTATGGCCTGGCTAACGTCCTTCACGAAGAAATATGGACCGATGACACTGCCAGCCCGAAATCCACATCAAACAGTGACTTTTTCTGCATGCATTGGATGCTCTTGGATCTCATATGGACTGGTATCGTTCCAAATTCAATAATTTTGTTTGCTTTCATACCTATTCATCCAGAAATGGGCGTCATAGCTGAAGGTGATTTTTCTATGGAAATTATGGTCAGTTGCCACCTGCGAACATTCCCATTCAGCGAACACACGTCGTAGTCTATGGTCGTTTAACTTCAGTTCCTACGTCAGTTGAGTTTTTTACGGGTGCAGGCCCAAATCACGACGCAAAATTTGCCAAGTTGTGGTCTGCGAAAGACCGAGTTCTTGTGAGCGACGCGACATAGATTGCTTTGGATTTTCCTGCACACTCTCACATACAGCGGCGATGTATTCGGCAGATCTTGCGTTTCGTCGACGTACGGTCATTGGTCGATCGTTCACTGAACTAGTGGACTCACATTTATCCACCACATTGCGAATAGTCCTCTTGCTAGAACGATTATGGCTTCCTTAAAATGGGTGAAGCGCGCGGTACGTTGCCCGAACAGAACATCCATTCTGATAAAACAATTTCATTATTTGCACGTGTTGTTTACATGTTACATCTGTCCATGGTGATTTGGCAAATCAGACTGAATAAATGACAACTTATTTGACAGATGTAGCTTCTAGAAGACGGCCGTTATTGATTGTTGAAGTTCAGAAGTCCCTGTTGGAAGACCCTATATAAGTTCTATTCGCCCACGGCCTATTAGCCAGGATATTATCTAAGAATAGATCCACCTACCTACTAAATTTCTACTTTCGTAATTTACATAAAATAATGCTACATGTTCCATGTTAAATTTATTCTTGTTTTAGGCAAACTCAGCCCTCAGCAGAAGAAACTCCAAGAAGCCAAATTTGAGGTTATCACTTCAGAAGCTTCTTATCTGAATTCGTTAAACGTACTTTGCAATCATTTCGTTTCCAGGTTCGCAAATTCGAACATTGTTAATGAAAGAGATATGAATGAACTCTTTGGGAAAGTAAAAGAAGGTAAGAGTAAACTATTGTATAATTGTTAACAACAACAAGCTATTAAGAAAAAGAAAGGTGTAATTGTAATCATCAAACGCGATGTTCACTTTCTTTATTGGCAAGAGCCAACACAATATTATGTCGTCAGTTCTCAAATAGAATTTAAAATTTTCACTCAGTTTATTTGATGTCATTATTGTGGTCGCCGTTATGTATATTACTCTTAGCCATGTGAATTAGGAAATTGAGACAAGAATGTCTTTGTTACATTAGGAATGACATACATAAGGTGTATTGGTTTTCATTTGAACTGAAAGTATGAATATTTATAACTGAGTATCATTCTTTGTCTGTTTAAACTAACGTCTTCTTAAAAAAAAATGGAAGAATGAAATTCTTTGAAGGAATTTTGGAAAATATCATTCAAAATTTGTGATAACCACCAAAATCCGTCCATGATTCTGGAATATATTATTTTGTTATATATCACTAATGAAGTGTTTATACAACTTGTAATGACATTATTTATTATATGGAAGTGATTTTCAGGATGAATAAAAACCACAGTATGAACACTCTAACATGAATATTGAGAAAATTAAACAGGTTTTCAAAGAAAAAAACCAGTTGATTTTCCATTCAATGAATTCAACTGCAGAAATTAAACACCTAAAGGTTTAAACTTCAAGTAATAGTAAGTTTTGATTAAACATCATGAAATGCACAATTTCAAATGTTACAAAAGTTTGAGTAGGTTAACAATATTGAAATTGCAATAACCGTTAACGTATTGAGTTACATGCTGGAAATCGCACGTTGAAAGGTGAGATAACGTTAATCCTTAGTTGGCACAAGATTCGAATTCTAAGGGTTATCTTTCGTAGTGGGTCGACAGCTGGTTTGACGGAGAAACATATTTTTTTAAACTAATAAAACTTTTTTGAGGATTTATTGTTGACCCTCCAGATTCTTGTGTAATATAAACTTGAAAATGTTATTCATTATGTTTCCATGATATCTTGGGCCTCGTAAAGACAATTGAGGAGTTTCTTGTAAACAATTTTTTCTCAGTGCGAAGTGTACTAAAAAATTGTACTCACAGGTGGAAACGTACAGAGTGGCCCAAATTGGACACTTTTGAAAGGAAACTCCTGTTTTCAAATTAGATAGATGGAAATGGATGGCTGTATCTGTGAGGCAAATTCTATGACAAACTTAATGGTGAAAATCACATATCGATATATATCATCCTTTCTGAGTTACATTTAGGTTTTTGGGAAGTGTATGGGTGGCTCATCGGTGTCCAACCATTGTCCTGAACGTCTCCTGTTGACCTAGAGGATCCACTTTTCATCACACACATGACGATACAATCTTAAAAAGCATCGTTTTCATTGCGCAAAAGCAGTTGTTCATGTAACAAACGGATGAGAAGTGAACGAGCAGCTGAAGAAATTGAAAAGCCAATTCGAACTTGCTAACATGGCTAGCCAACCTGCTTCTCTTAGGCAGAGTAGACCTGTTTCAACAAAGGAAGTCTTATCGTTAGCACCTATACCGTCGCAAGCTGAAACCCTAAAAGCCTCCAAATTTTGATAGATGGTCATTGTGGGATATGTATTGTCGACATCTTAGGAAGCGGCAAACTTCAATGCTTAGTTGAAAGAAAAAAACAACTGTACATGTTTGAACGCTGAACGGTCGAGCGTTAGAAATTTTGTAGTACATTTCATGAAGCAGCAAATACGAACACTAAAGAATTTTGAAAGCTCTAGAGATAGGGCACACATTAAAAGACTATAATCAATTTGACAAATGTCAAGAGACTTTGTGAAACAGATTTGAGGGAAGGCCTTAATTGACGGTTCAAAAAACTGGATTGCTGCGAATCTTGAGGCCAGGTATGGATCTAATGGTAAATATTCTACCCAGCAGTTTTACCCAGCAGTTTGTCGGACACCAGAAGAATGTAATGACGCCATTGTCGATGAGTTTTTTAGAGAATGATACACTTTTATTCTCTAACTCAATATGTTCGCAAACGACAATCTGGCAGGTTATTGATCGTCTGCATAACAGTGTCTTCTCAAAATTTTGAAAACAGTATTTCGGCGTGTGTTTGAACAACATTGCGAAGGAAACATAATTTTGAGAATAACCCACCACATCTCCAACCCCACCTAGATGGCTCAGGTCGATGACATCAGAAAGAAGCAGTGTGTGTAGACTTTTGTCTCCTAATTAAAACTAATTATAGGTACGACACTGGCCGGCAAGGGGCTTATCGTAATCCAATAGTAATTTAGTTGGGAGAGGCTATATATGCGTGATCGCTCGCCATCATGTTTGGCGCTTGCTGTACCAAAAATCAAATCTCTGCTTTCAAAAATGACTAAAATACAGGGGTGTCTTCATCTTAAATGACCGTGAGTATAAAACTTCAACAAAGAAAAATGCCAGAGAAGTATTCCGGATGACGCATTTCCATTGTCAATCACTATAATTATTACTCAACTGAAACTGTGAAATGCCTGACTGTACTGAATCACTCCGCATACTGGAGTAGCTAAGTCATCGGTACCTCAGATTGAAATCTTTCTTTCGGACTTTTCGAACACGGCGGAGGGTGCGGATCGTCCTGCCCTAACCCCTTAACCCTACGGCATAGTGTCACTGGGAAAATCAATGTGAGAATCAATCAACGTAAGATAAAAAGCAGAATATTTGAGGTAAATTAAAATGTATATCAATATGAACTAATATAATTCTTACAGGCAAGTAATACTACACACAATACAATCTCACAAGCAGAGATTATTAAATGGCTAGATGAAGAATATTGTTTTTAAAGTGGGAAACTGATATATCAAAGATTTGAAGGTTATTTAAAGAGTTACCCAATCGAAGAGTTCTGGGAATAAAGCTGTTATATGAACAATTGGATCTGTGAAAAGAAACGTTAAACGTTTGCATCTGTCTAGTTGAACGAAAGGGGACATGTAAAGATATTTTGGAGAGAAGCTCGGGGCTGATACTTAGCCCGTTGATAATTTTGAATAGAAGTACTGAATCTCTATGTTTTCTGCGAGCCTCAAGAGAAGGTATGTTCAAAATGCATTCCAATGCAGTATAGGCATAGTATACCTGCAATATATTGCAGGAAATTGTGCTGTACGGCCTCGAGTTTCACTTTTTGTTAACATAATGAGAGGACCAAACTGTGGAACAATAATCGAGATGAGATCTAACCAGGGAAAAATAAAGAGATTTGATAGCAGTGATGTTGGTGAAATCACGAGTGGTTCTTTTTATAAAGCCAAGCATCTTTATACATTTTTGAATTACAGCAAAACTGTGTGATTTATAGCTAAGTGTGGAGTCTAGGATCACACCTAGATCTTTGGTTTTAATAGCAGAATGTAAGGTCCGATTATTTATAATATATTCGAAAGTGATTGGGTGATGTGTTCGATGAAAGCGAAGAATTTGGCATTTGGATGCATTTAAACACATACCATTTCGCGAACACCAGTTAGATAGGCAATCTATATCGTTTTGTAGACACAATGTATCAGCTTTACTTTTAATTACTTTGAAACATTTTAAATCGTCCGCAAATAGCAAAGCTTCGCTTTCATGAACAGTTGATTATATCGTTGATAAAGAGGTTAAACAACAGTGGTCCTAAATGTGAACTTTGTGGATTACTCGATGTAACTGCGATGGTATGAGAATAGTAATGATTAACTCTAACAATTTGCGTTCTTTCCGTAAGATAGCTCTTGAGCTTGAAAACATTTGTGTGTATCGCCATCTCGACCCGGTGCGCCCTAAGTTTGAATAGAAGATTTTGTGTGTTCTTTCAAACCAATTTTTTTAATCTAGCAGTCTGACTTGATATTGAAATATTTTCATTTCAGAGGATTATCTCGAAGGTGGTGCCTCCGAATACGAAACTGTCAGCGACTCCTCCGATTGTGACAGTGACCTCGAATTTGAAGATGTCGATGAGGTGACTATTCACTACATAATTTGTTGAACATTGATTTTTATGAAAAATTTCAGGATGAATTAAAACATGATATTGGTAACAATCCTTTACCACCAGAGCCACAGACTAATGGATTCGATAAATTCACTCAGAATCTAAGGAAACTCAAGAAGTCTTTCTCTAGGGATATTACTAAATCATTGAGAAGGATTTCCAAACGTATGTCGCTAGTGGAAACAGAATCAAAAGGTAAAAAAAAACATTAAAGTTTTGAGTACAACTGTAATCCTTTCCACAATAGAATTTTTGTGTTTATTAAACAATGATTTAACTTTTTTATTTCATTTCACAGGAAAGTCAGATTTCTCAAAATATTGAATGAATGAATAGAGGAACAGATTATATTTTCTGAATGTTTCAACAACTGCTAACTACATATTATGCAGATATTGATTAACTATAGCCTCCATTAATATTTATGAAGTAGCATTTCAAATAAATGTTCATTTATTTATATGAATGGGCTGATATCCAGTGCCACTGAGAAGTCTATTTCATCTATTTGTTTTCGTTAAAATATTTATTTCTCTCGCTATTTGATATTTTATATCGATGTTGCAAGTTGAAGAACAATACCTAATGCTGTTTCGTGATCTTGTGAAAATAAACAGAAATATTATAAAATACTCTCCACACAAAATAATGAAGCATTCTAGGCTATACAGGGTGTTTCAAATTCGATCCTCACCATTGGAATCTTGGAAACTTTGAGATATACGGAGATGGTTGAATTGGGGCAAAGTTGCGCATTTACCTGACTAACAATATGCCGTTGAGAAAGTTCTGAAATTCCGAGTATATCCGGAGATATTCGTAAAAAACAGAAATTTCGGAAAATGGTTTTTATTTTTCTCCGGCTTTATTTTTCGGAGAATTCTAAAATAAATTACACTTTCACATTGCCACTTTTTTCCTGCTACGTAATGATGTTTTCAGATTTGCTCTTCGACATTTCGTCTTCCGGCCACCGTCATCAACTTTATTTTTTCTCATGAAAGCTGCATTGGGTTCTTTCTGTTTTGAATAGAATCCGATTTAACCTTTTCAATGTGTATCATAAGTTATCATTCTTTTCAGAAAAATTGGAGATATTGAAAAAAAAAATTCTTATCATGATAGGCTTTGACTTCGATGTTTCTGAATTTGACTTTCAATTTGTTACACTCAATGACATTTTGTTATTGTACAATTCATTGAAATTTTGGCAAAAATGGCTTTCATGAATGAAGAAAAAAGAGATATGATTCAAATTTATTACAAATACGATAGAAACAATGTTAGGACATCGGAAATATACTTAAAATTACAGTATCCTGAAACACGACAACCACATCGAATTATGTTCAATTTATTGGATTGAATTCTCACCGAGTTTGGTTCATTTGAAAAGCCAAGGAAAAATAAACACATAGAGGCATTAAAATTTACATAATTGAATGAAGAACTGAATAAATTGTAAATCACGAGTGTTATAAGTGACTGACTAATTTTATACTTAATTTCTACATGACTTTGTATATTTAGTATGATCTGATACTATATTTAAATACTTACTTCATGATATACGTGGACTGTTCAAAAAATAAGGCGAACGTTCAAATTTCGCGGTCTACGTACATCCGATTAAAGTTTTTTTATGTTGGTACACTCAGCTCGAACATGTTATCATAGTTTTAGCCGTTTAGTGTGTTCAGTTTGTTGGTGAAGGCATGAAATTCAGAAGTGTTTTACGTGTTCGGCGATTCTCAACAATCGAAAAAATAATGGATCAAATAATTTGCACCAGATTTTGTGTAAGAAATGGAATTGAGTGCTCAAAAACACATCGCTCAGGAAATGTTGAATGACGTCAATCACCATCCAGATTTGCTCAGAAGGGTTATAACTAATGAAACCTCATCAATACCAAAGTCCAATTGTCCCAATGGAAGAGCGTAGGAGAGCCAAAACAAAAAAAGGCACACCAAGTTCGATCAAATCTCAAGTTTTTGCTCACTGTTTTCTTCGATTACCACAGCGTAGTGCATCAGGAGTTTCTGCCACATGGTTGTTCGACCAATAAGGAGTATTATCTTGAAGTTAAGCGCCGATTGCGAGAAGCAATACAAGAAAAAACGTCAGGTGGAAATACAATTCATGGTTTCTGCATATATTTTTTGGCCAAAAACAACACCGTAGTCATGCCTCAACCACCGTATTCACCAGATTTGGCCCCCTGGGAGTTTTTTTGTTCCCAAGATTGAAGTGACGATTGAGTAGATGAAAAATGAATCGCTGAGAGGGCTCAAAGACATGGAAGAAACGAGGATTGGAGAAATACTGGCACGAGAGTATTATATCTGAGGGGATTATTTTGAACTATGAATTGATGAATGAAAAATATTTTTTGAAAAAAATACAAATTCACCTTATTTTTTGAACAGATCATTATTGAACATCAATTTAGTTTTATATTTTTCAATATGTAGATCGAAGGATCATTATGATTTTCATTGTATGTAATTTTTAAGAAATATTTCTGAAGAACTTCCGAATTGTAGAAATAATTCACAACTAGGGAGGTTTCACACCTCCCCATGCGAGAAACCATAATTCAATTAGGATTTTATTGAAGAGAAATAGAACATTTTACGTTATTCAATAGAACTCTGTTTCAAATTTGAAATAAATTCCATTGAATTCCGATTCCATTGAAAAAGTAACACGCCTTCACAAAATATTCAAAAAGTTCCTCATCACATGACGAGAAACAAATATTTGAAGAGACCTTTATGAACAAAAAATTTATTTTGAAATAGTAACATTTCATTTTCGAATATACAAAAAACTATGAATCAGCTCACTACCGCAAATTTTTGACATTCCTTACAGATCAAGTTCAAGAAACCCGTGTTCCCGTTATTCTTACTGATGAACCAAAACCGGAGTTGGGCTCAGAAAGTGAAGTTCAGAAGTCTGATAGTATTTTCAATAGAATCAGACGAAGTGTTTCCATTTCTGCGGTATCTCTGGCAAACCAGCGAAAAAGTACTTTCTATTTGAGTGGTGACATTGACGTTGGTGAAAATGGGAAAGCAAAGGAATCTACCAAGAAAAAATCGGTTTCAAATAATTCACCTTCACCTATTAACGTCAAATCTAGGGTGGTGAGACCGAAAATACCACCTCCTCCAATTCCAGTAAAAAATGTAGGTACGTACGAAAGATGATTATTGAATCTAACTTTTTTTTGTATCAATTTTTTATAAGTATCTTATACATAGTGGATGTTTTAATTTGAAACATTCAAATA